GGTTGATCAAATTTTTGTTCCACGAATAAGGAAATAATGGAACTAGGAAACAAAACAAAATTCTTACCGCTTATTTTACTTGCTACTAATAGGACAAAAGACCTCAAAAAAGGTCGACGGCCTAACGACCATTACTTGACTACTGTCCACATTGAGACAGTATTTAGACAAAATACGAACAATAAACAAATCAGTTACAAGTTATAAGGCGGAAGGAACTTGTAAACAAGTCGTTGCTTTTTCTCCGGTTTCTGAATAATACCCTTCTTGTAATATTGTCGCAGCGATCGTGACAATTTATCATAATTCATCTGGGCTCGATTTTTGCGCTGACCCCAAAAACGAGCCAGGTGGTGCGACGATTCTATTTTGAAAGTCCCTGAAATTGAGCACTAATCCCATCCATTTCTACTTCACTTTTTTTTCCTCATTTTTTTTTGATTCGACTTAAATTTTCAGTCTTTTTTTATTTAAAATAAACTAAAAGAATTATACAGTTGAAAACGATACCTTCCTGCCTATCAACCCATCTTACACATGAACTGTACTGTTTCGGATGATCCAGCAACTCACGGATGAAGTGCCAAAGATGCACTGTACCGGAATGTCGCGGAAATTGCGGTGTGCCTGTTTGTCGAGCATCAATGATAGCCCCATCAATAATATTTACTTCAATTTATATGAATTACGTTTTCTATGATTTAAGATCAAATTAATGAAAATTGAATTATTCTTTCGCCAGTCAACACTTTTTGCAACAGTTTTATTTCGATTCTGTAATTTCATGGCTGATTTTGTTCATCCAGTTGGATATCTGAAATCACTTTTTATTTTTTACCATCATTCATTGAAGAGCCGTTGGAGGATATTTCAGAATCGCTTGGGCTCGGTAAAATTCCGATTCCAGAAGCTTGAGCTGATGTATAGTACTGTTGTGGTACGGCAACATTTGCAAGAAGAGTTCCTTCTTGCGATACGTTTTGATATGTATCTAAAATTCATAAAATCTCATTAAATGATTAAAAAGGGATTACAAAAAATTGTCAAAATATTTAAAAATCACAACTTTTATCAGCAAAATAAATTATTTCCACAAATGTAGCCAAATGTTGTATTTAAGTAGATGTGGCAAATACGTTGCATGCTTTGATTTTCGGCTCAGAAAAATCATAAAATGTTTCAGTGTAGGTAAAGAAAGATGACTGGATTTTGACAGTAAAAATTGTTGCCATAATCATTTACTATTAGGATAACAATTCATGCCGATAGCCGTATCGGTGTTGCTTGGATTGAAGTTATTTAAATAATCTTGCGCTGATGTCAGCAGTTCTCCTTGTTCTGTTACATTCAGCGCCAATGGAGAAGGATTCACCTTGAAATATTCTTATATTCATATATAAAATTTTTTTATAAGTAGGAAAAATGTGTTGGAAAGTTACAGTTATTCATTTAACCGCATTTTTTCCCGATAATCATGAGATAATTTTTACTTACTTGAACAGCGTAATAAAGGATAGCCACAAAAATGATTTGATCAGATCTAATTTATCACAAATCTTCTATCTTTAATCATACAAATACATTTTGACTCAAACAAAAGGCTGGTAAAAAGACAAAGTGAGCAACAAACAAATCGTTGTTGTGTTGCTGCAAATGTGAAATAAATTGAAAATTTTTAAAATTGAAATCAAAACTGCTCACTTAAATTTCTGACTTCAGATGAATTTGTTCTATGAAAGTAATATAAAAACGTACCCAGTATTGTGAGGAACGATTGCAGTTTTCGGTTACTTGTGAGGTGCCTTGACTGTTCCCGTTATTATCATTATTGTTGTTGTTATTGTTATTATTGCTATTGTTGTTATTGTTATTATTGTTGTTGCTGTTATTTTGCTGGCTGTATGAATCATATGCTAGAAAAAAAACGCAAAGACTTTAAGCGACAGTTAAGCTATTGTCTCCAAAAACATTTGCATAAAATTGTCCTACTAACCAGTTTTCCATAATTGTAGCTGTGCATGCAGCGTGTCACCACCTTCTGGTGCTCGAACCATAAAGTCGTCCTGTGTCATCGATAACAGAGTACGACCGTTCATATATAATTGTCGTGGTGGGGGAAGTTGAAATTGCACGCACATTTCAGACATCCAACGGGCACTATGTTCGGCACTCCAAGCTTGTGGGTCTTCAAATTTTGTTGGTTGACAAAAGTAAAAGTGAAATTTAACACGAAATTTCCATTTCAGCATGATAATAGGAGCTTTTATGATATATCTGAGTAAGATCAGAAGTAAAACTTTCGGAGTATAAATAGTTGGTGACAATGGCAAAAGTTGGACATAACGAGAAAATTTTTATCTGACTTCCATAACCATCCGAAGTTATTCCACATTTAACGCATTTTGACATTCGAAAATTTCTTATCTACCAAATCCGATGTATACACTTCAACATCGCGTGAAGATGAAAATAGTTGTTTCATTGAGAAATATGACACAGTTTCGAACAGATGGATTCAAGCAAATAGTGAGGAAAATGAGGCGAGATGGAGAGAGTACGATTAAACTTATCCATACAAGATATATATTTTCTCACTATCTGATTTGCGATGAAATCCTGTCAAATTAACAGGAAGGAAGACAGAAATATCAATTCAAATTAACAGGAAGAAGGCAGAATTCAGCTGCTGTATGTACCTAATCTAAGAAGTATGCAAATTGGTTTTCAACTGTGGAGCATTACAAGTTTTACTGCATTATCAACATTCCATATCCTCACAATTTTGGTGGATGAGCAAATAGGAAACAGTATCACTCGGTTTTAATACAGCCTGAATAGAATGCATCAGAAAAAATGAGATGACAAATTAAAGTCGCTTGTGTGGAATTAAGAAATCAAGGAGGGAAGTTGATTATGAAAGTGAGCAGATGGGAAATAGGTAAATGAGGAGGTATCACAGGTAAACCAACATCTGTCCGTTCATGGTGATTTTGGTTTATCTACTGAAAGAGTCCAACCCACAATCACGCAATCACATCCATATTTCATATCTCCAAAACAAGTCACGACCTTTGAAGATCGCCTAAAAAGGCACTTAACAATCCTGGTCAGGTGTTTCGAGCAGTAGGTTTGACCCATAAACAATGTTATATAGCAGCTGCTTATCGAATGCCATCGATAAACAACAGTCTTCTAATCATTAAGAATGCAGCTGTTAAAGCTGCTAGTACTGCAAGACTCTGCTACAGAAGTACAACTAAAATCAGCATTTCTGCAAATTTTACATTGAAAAATTGATTTTTTTCCACTTGTTGGTTTATTTTTTTAAATAAAAGGTTTTGTTTCTTTAAAAAGAAAGAAAAAAAAAACTAATCAGTAAGTAAGAGAATGTGGCGCAATTTGCAATGTTTCCTTTCAGTTACAAAAAAGAACTTAAGGAACCAAGAAGTCACGAAAGGTTTCTTTACAGTCTAAATGATTATTATCATGGGAGTTATGAACCAAGTCGCAACTTACCGAATGTCCAAAACACATTGATATGAGTGCAATAAAGGTTCCAACCCCAACGTATAACACCAGCGTGTTAAATTGTGATAAGTAATGCAAATATTTTTAGCTCCAAATGATTTCACATGCGACATCTATCAGAAAATCCTTTCTGGCAATACAAGCAATGAAAGAGTATTACAAAATATGTTACCTGTTGGTAGTCCAAGTTTGGTACATGTTGTATTTATATCCTGAATTAGATGTCGTAGTATCAAATCCCGATAAATATCCATTTGAGCAGCATCGTTCGCATTGTTTGTTACAGAACTAGCTGATACTGATATTTCATCATCTCTGCGGTTTCCTGATAATTCAGCTGTCGTTGCTCCTGTTGGCGCTGTTGCGGAAGGCTGCGTTGCAGTTGAATAGCAGTTTGAATTCTCAC